GGAGATGAGAAATCTTATTTCTTAGATTTTGTTTTCTTTCCATTCCGCGGATATACGACTTTATACTTCGATGGAAACTGTGCTTTCTTTGGCGGAAATCGAATCGAACAAATTCTTGGCTGTGTTTCCTATGTAGGTTTGCCTTTTTTTTTCTTTCTGAAGTGTTTAACGTGAACGTTTTCTCCTGTTTGTTCTGGAAATTCGAGTGGGTACGTGCGATCGGAAATAATGTACTTCAATTTTTCTTTTCAAATTAAATACATAGAAAGAGAGTATAAATTGCATAAATTAGATATAGGTAAAATAGGGGTAGTGATCTACAAAGTGAGAGCAGAAGTGTTTAAAATGAATCGATGTGATCAGAAACAATGTAATTCAATTTTTTTTTTTAATTAAATACATAGAAAGAGAGTATAAATTTCATAAATTAAATATATGTGAAATAGGGGTAGTAATCTACGAAGTGAGAATAGAAACAACACAAGATGCCTGTGACATGTTGCGACGATTTCTCGTTTGAAATTGTAGCTTTATGTGTAGTTTTGCAAATTTATTTTAGGATAAAATCATATTAAGTAAATTTTCTTGTTCTCATTTTGGGTAATTCGTATCGTTTAATGCAGAAGCAATATAAGTCATAGAAGTTTAAATAGAAATATAACGAACGACTACTGATAAATAAAATCAGTGATATCAAAATTAACGATAAGCAAAAATCACATTTTCATTTATTACATTGTTAACACGTTGACTGCCAAGCCTATTTTAACCCCTTAACGCACAGTTTTTTTGAAAAAAACCGGCCAAAAAAAATCAATTTTTTTAATGTAAAAAAAACAAACTTTAGAACATTGTTTTGGCAAAAAAACACAACAAAAACATTTGTTATCACTCCTGATTCAACTTTTCTTTTAGTGGACAATTTCGATATACTGCGCTTTTGTTCCATGGAAAAAGGCTATATTTTATTTTCGAATAAATAAGTATTATAGCTTACAATCCTATGTAAATGATAAATATCAATAACACGATTCTTTTTCTTAGCTTTCACATTGTTATTTTCAATTCTCGAATATATTCGAGTGTGAAAAATTATAGCAGCATCAAATACAACGCCGCTCGAATTATCTCGAGTGTGCACAGTTTGGCCTGTTGTCTCCGAATAGGATGTAACGTCTACTAGCAAACTGCCAAATACGAGTTATCTCGTAGCTTGGCAGTCAACGTGTTAAAGATGTACATATTTGAGAAAAATTTCGAGAAAAGAAATACTTTTCGCTTAATTTTTCTGCTGTTTTCAAAATAATTTCAGAATGAAAGGGTTACATTCCATTTATTTTTTATTTGTAGGATACACCACGTGGATAAAGACTGCGTTTGATTAGTTAGAAAAATTATAAATTGTTTGTCTTTGAATGCAGAACAGATGATTCACGATGGTATTCTTTTGTATGTTGCAGCAAATCTTGCAAAAATCGTCAGTCTCCGTGGAAATCGAAGTGAGACCAAGACAACTGGTGCCAGACACTAACTGTTTCATCGATTATCTGCCGCAACTGCAAAATATCGCGAAAGCGATTGCTGGTGCACAACCGATTTATACGCTTATGGTGCCGCTTGTAGGTGAGTGAATTTACAATTTTGCAATACTTATTTGAACGACGTATTATTAACATTAAACAAACCACGAATTCATGTAACTTTTAATTCATAAAAATGTCCTCAAAGATAGGTTGAATAAATTCGTCAGAATTTTTGTCGATTAAAATTTTTAATTAGAATTTCTAGTAGAATGTTTGTCATAGTAATATTCAGCGTAAATGTCAAATTCTTATAGAAAATACCTGTGTCATCCATAAAAGTACGACAGCGTGTGTAATGAGTTAAAGAGCCATTAAAACATGGTTAAGAAAGCCAATTTGTGCGAGTTCTATGTGAATAAAGGGAAAACAAAGTTTACAAGATTTCAGATTTATTATACTTAACGTATACGTATTCAAATATAAATACACTCTCGTCTATAAGTCATTCAGCACTTATTACTTTTGACAACCACCTGTGTTCAATTGTTTGATAAAACTTGGAAAGGGCAACGTAATAGAATTAACCAGTAAATGTTAATTTCATTTTATGACTGTAACATAAATTTCTCTTTATTCTATTAG